TAATGTCCAAATAAAAGTGCAAAATAAAAGTCCCAATCCAAAGATTGAAATATTATTATTATACAGTATTTATATAGCGCTAAAAGGTTTGCTCAGCGCTGTACATTATAGGGGGGACAGAACATGAGACAATACAGTAACAAAACAAAACACGAGGGGTTCGAGGGCCCTGCTCTTTTGAGCTTACAATCTAGGAGGGAGGGGGTAGTGGTACAGGAGGAAGTGGCTGTGTGGGATGGAGTTGGTAGGAGGAGAGGAGGAGATCGGCTGTTAGGTGAGGGTGGGGTAGGCTTCCCTGAAGAGATGGGTTTTCAGGGTGTGCCTAAAGGTGAGGAGGGTAGGTGACAGTCTGATGGATTGGGGTAGTGAGTTCCAGAGGATGGGGGAAGTCCTGGAGAAGTCCTGCAGTCGGGCGTGGGAGGTGGAGACCAGGGAGCTAGAAAGTAGGAGGTCTTGTGAGGAGCGACGATTAGGACGGGTTGGGTGGTATTTGGGTATCAGGTCGGTGAGGTAGTTTGGGGCAGCGTTATGAATGGCTTTGTATGTCTGTGTTAGTAGTTTGAATTTAATGTGTTGGGCAATCGGGAAGCCAGTGGAGGGAATGACAGAGGGGGGTGGCAGAAGCGGAGCGGTTGGTAAGGTGGATGAGTCTGGCCGCTGAGTTCAGGATAGACTGAAGAGGGGGATAGTCCTGTGTTGAGGGTAGGCCAGTGAGGGGGAGTTGCAGTAGTCCAGACGTCGTGAGTTAATAGGGGAGTGAACGAGTAGTTTAGTAGTGTCTGGGGTTAGGAACGAACGTATTTTGGAGATAAATAAATCTTTAATGTGCTCCAAAAATTTATGTAAAAGTGCCGCATGCAGAAACTTCATTGTATTAGAACCATCCGTGATAACCAACATATACTGCACTCACCAAATATAGTGGACTCTCCGTGATTAAGAGTCAAATACGATTTGTGGATATTATATATCCTTCTAATAGGGGTTCACACTGCTCAGAAGAATGCTCCAATAGAAGGATTTCCCACACAATTCATAAAAAAGATAAAAATCTGATAGTGTAATATTGTCCAAAGAATTCAAGGTCATGAAAGGGGATAACAAGTTGAGGAAATTGACGCAATTCCAATCCCAAGACAATGGGGTCATTTATTAAATCCGAAAATTCATTATGTATGGGAGTAAGCATGTCACATATCTTTTGGAATGTCCGTGCCACCTACAGGGAGAACTACCGGGAAATTGTCCACTAGACTTGGAGAGCATATTAGAAATATAAAGAAGGGCTTCAGACATCATAGTTTTATCATTTCAGAAAATTTCACAAGTAGGATCCTTATTTGTTAAGATTTTGTGGGATTGATAGTTGAACCTCATTGGCGTGGGGGTGTGATTTGGCTAGGTCAGATCTCACAGAATGAAACAAAGTGGATCCTGCAGCTTAGAACCTTGACCCCTAGGGGTTTAAATCACTGTACAGGACCTCTGTGTGAGGTCCCGATCATGTTATCACTGACTGGCCAGTCAGTGATCACATGAAAATTTCACAACTATGATCCTTATTTGTTAAGATTTTGTGGGACTGAACGTTGAACCTCATTGGCGTGGGGGTGATTTGGGTAGGTCAATCTCATAGAATGAAACAAAGTGGATCCTGCAGCTTAGAACCTTGACCCATAGGGGGTTAAATCACTGTACAGGACCTCTGTGTGAGGTCCTGATCATGTGATCACTGATTGGCCAATCAGTGATCACATGAATAGTAGTAAGCAAGATGTCACTTTTGACATCATTGCTTACTACGTGTGAAATCTGTGAATGATAACAGAGGTCACATGGCACGTGTGAAATCAAGGCTATTCACAACAGCTTTGTGTACCACGTGCAGCCAGAGAAAAGGAGAAATGGTTGCTTTTATATAGCCTTTATGGGTGTAAAAGCAATCCGTGTAAAAAAATATATATATATATTTCATCACAACCCACAAGTTGTACAGTGTCACTATGGTGACACTGTACTGCTATAGTGGCAGTATGTTAAAAAAAAACTAACAAAAAATAAAAATGTAAAAAAAATTTTGGAAAAATAATATAAACACATAAATAATATAAAAAAGTGAGAATTTTTTTTTTTTAAATTAGAATTTTTGGTTATAAACTAATTTGTTTTTTTTTTTTTTTTTTTACTAAAGATAACTGAATACATAACAAGAAAAAATAAAAAGATTATTTATTTGCAAAATTTTTTTAAGAAAAAAACACTTTTTCAAAATGTTTGGGACTTTTTCATTTATATAGTATAATAAGATAAAAATCCCAGTGGTGAATAAATACCACCAAAATAAAGTTTTATCTGTCTAAAAAAAATACATTTGGGTACAGTGTTGCATGACCGCAATTGTCATTCAAAGTGTGATAGAGCTGAAAGCTGGAAAATTGCCCTGGAAGGGGTTACAATACCACTGGCGAAGCTCTTATTTGCTCTGCTTGTAGAATGTGCCGCTTCATCATTCAAAAAGGATTACAGCCAGTTCCTAATTTATTACACAGAGGTCCCGTACAGTGATCGGTGTTCCACTGTGTCTCAGGGAGCGCACACAACCTGTAAATGTGGGCGCTGTTTATGTACATGGGCCGGATGGGAAATGGTTTAAGGGCCAGTTTACACCACATGCCGCCCATTGTTTTTTTGTTTTTTTTGTTTTTCCTGCATCAAAAATGCATGCATAGTGTTTTCCATGTATTCCAATAGTGCAGTTCCCAAAAATGTTTTGTAGCTAGAGCCTTAGTCTGATTGCCAGAATTATTCAACTAACTTCCCTGAGCCCAGGTCACTCTAGATCCCCCTCCACAGTCTGGGACTGGACAGTGAAAGGAGAAGCAGCGCAGTGATGAGCTCCTCTCCCTGTCACCCTGCTATCAGCATGTTTCTTGTCAGCACATGAACTGATTGGCTACTGGTGCTGCTTCACCGTCTCATAATCCTGCCCTGCTGTACAGGGACAACAAGAAGCTGATACCAGGTCGAATCTAGGTACTTACACAGATTTGCATTTAACCCTTTCCTGCCGGCGCCTCCCGGCCCTTTAAGAGATCCAGAAGCTGGGAGGCGGGATGGGGTTTAGGGATCATGTGACCGCTGTGACGAGTCATCACGGCGGTCACATGATCGGGAAAGGTCCCAATCGAAAGAACAGATCGGGACCTTTCCGTGAGTACTGGACATGTGTGCTGGGATCGCGCAGGGCGCGCGCTCTCAGCAGATATGTTTTTTGTTAATTTGCGGCCGCTCGGCGTCTAGGACCAGACGCCAGGAGGCCGTACATTTGTGTGCAGCCGGCATAAAGGGGTTAAAATACATTTAATGATGCATTATTAAATACAGAGCTACATCAACTGGTGTCTTTTATATCTGCCTAGAGTTCAGCTTTAAGCTCCTAGTATTTACTTACATTGAGCTATCGTCCCTGTTAGGCTGACCATACACTATACAATCTGATTGTACAATCTCATTTATATCTACCATCAACTATACTATATAGTGGAAGAGTCTGCCTGATTTGATACAGATTGAACAGATTGCTTGGGGTTGTCCTCATATCACATAGATTTGGTAAAGGAAAATCCTACAGTCAGACTGTAAAAAGGATGGCCAGCCATTTGAATTCTAAACCTTTTACTCTGCCATTGTCTGATACATCGGTCTCCAAACTTTCTAAACAAAGGACCAGTTTACTATCCTTTGGAGTTTACAGGGCTGGACTGTGGCCAAAGGGAGTAGAAAATGTCCAGCCGTCAGTAACCATGCCCCATCATTTGTGTCTGCGAGCTGAATCGTGCCCCATCGTTGGTGTCAGTGAGGGGATATAGTACCCCGTTATTGGTGTCAGTGGGAGGCATACTGTTCCATGGTTGGTGTCAGTGGGAATACAGTGTTCCATCATTGGTATCCATGGGAGGAACAGTGTTCCATTGTTGGTGTCGGTGAAAGGAATAGTGTTTCATTGTTGGTGTCAGTGGGAATAAAAGTGTTCCATTGTTGGTGTCAGTGGGAATAAAAGTGTTCCATCGTTGGTGTCAGTGGGAATAAAAGTGCCTCATCTTGGTATCAGTGGGAGGAATAATGCCTCATCGTTGGTGTCAGTGGGAGTAGTGCCCTATTGTTGTCAGTGGCAGGAGTGGTGCCTCATCGTTGGTGTCAGTGGGAGGAATAATGCTCCATCGTTGGTATCCATGGGATGAGTAAGTTCCATTGTTGGTGTAAGTGAGAGGAATAGTGCTCCATGGTTGGTGTTAGTGGGAGGAATAGTGCCCCATCGTTGGTGTCAGTGGGAGGAATAGTGCCCCATCGTTGGTGTCAGTGGGAGGAATAGAGCCCCATCGTTGGTGTCCATGGAAGGAATAGTGCCCCATCATTGGTGTCAATGGGAGGAATAATGCCCCATCGTTGGTGTCAGTGGGAGGAATAATGCCCCATCGTTGCCCCCATCGTGGTGTCAGTGGGAGGAATAATGAATAATGCCCCATCTTTTGTGTCAGTGGGAGGAATAATGCCCTATCGTTTGGTGTCAGTGGATGGAATAGTGCCCCGTTGTCGGTGTCAGTGGGAGAAATAGTGCCCCATCGTTGGTGTCAGTGGGAGGAATAATGCCCATCGTTGGTGTCAGTGGGAGGAATAATGCCCCATTGTCTGTGTCAGTGGGAGGAATAATGCCCCATTGTCGGGAGTGGGAGGAATAGTGCCCCATCATTGGTGTCAGTGGATGGAATAATGCCCCATCGTTGGTGTCAGTGGGAGGAATAATCCCCATTGTTGGTGTCAGTGGTTGGAATAGTGCCCCATCAGGGTGTCAGTGGAATAAAGGGTCGGATAAAGGCAAGCCCCCAGGCTGCAGTTTGGAGACCACTGGTGTAATACGACTAGCAATCTGTCTTCAACTTAGACATTGATTAAGAAAAAAAAAAAAAAACTAAAATGTCTCCTCTTATTTTGTATTGCAGTCTTCTTTACCGTATTGATGGTTTCGGCCAACACACTGGAAATAGTCCTGAGCCCTGAGAAACCGAAAATAGGTGGGAGTGTTACTTTTAATGTCCCTGGAATCACGGAAGGAATCCGATTCTTTGACTGGTACCGAGGAAATGACACATCTTCTGCCAACCAGATTATAAGGTTCAACAATGGGGATGGCTCGACGAGTAGGGGGCAGAAAAGCCATTGCGACGGCCAGCGTCTTCCCCAACGCCTCCCTACAGATTACAAACCTAACAAAGGCTCTTGAGGATAAATACATGGTGGAGATCCAGGGGGATGCAACTCTATATCAAGGCACTGTGTCCCTGGTGGGTGAGTTGGTATGGTGAGTACGTCATTATTTGTTTAACTCTTTGATATGGCACTGACACCGTTGAAATTATAAAGTCCATTTACAAAGCTACCTAGTGATTATTTGTTTACACCAGAGCCCAAGGAGCCCCCATCCACATTCCTTGCAATACACACCACTACGAAGAATGGCGGCACACTGCAATAACAGCACACAAATGGACAGGTTGATGGAGAGCACACACCACTTCTGTCTGTGCTAGGACCACCCTCACGCGTTTCGTCCATTTACAATTAACCACTTCCAGTCTGGACACTTTTACCCTCTTCCTGTCCAGGCCAATTTTCAGCTTTCAGCCCTATCACATTTTGAATGACAATTGCGCGGTCATGCAACACTGTACCCATATGAATTTCTTAGCATTTTTTTGAGACAGATAAAGCTTTGTTTTGGTGGTATTTATTCACTACTGGGATTTTTATTTTATTTTTTTTTGCTATATAAATGAAAAAGTCCAAACATTTTGAAAAATAGTGTTTTTCTTATAAAAGTGCGCAAATAAATAATATTTCTTCATAAATCTTGACCAAAATGTATTCAGTTATCTTTTTAATAAACAAAGAAATTAGCCAAATTAGTTTATAACCAAAAATTATAATTTTTCCAATTATAGATCAGAGTTCCAGTCAGTTTCCGGTGCAGAAAAAAGTAGAAGATGCTGCATTTTTTTTTTCTGCACAGAACCGTACTGGAACATAGCAAACTGCACCAGAACTTTATGTGGTGTGAACTGTAAGCAAAAACGTATCCGGTGTGCATTTTCATAGTGTGAACTGGCCCTCAGGCTATGGAGGGCAATGCTGTGACTTGTAGCGTCAAGCTGCGGAAGGCAATGATGGGACTTCTAGTCTTACAGCCACCAGAGGACAATGCTGGGACTTGTAGTTTCATAGCCACCAGAGGACAATGCTGGGACTTGTAGTTTCACAGCCACCAGAGGACAATGCTGGGACTTGTAGTTTCACAGCCACCAGAGGACAATGCTGGGACTTGTAGTTTCAAACTCTAGGGGGGTAGTGCGGGGAATTTTAGGCTTACAGGCTCTGAAGGGCAATGCTGAGACTTGTAGTCTCACAGCCACCAGAGGACAATGCTGGGACTTGTAGTTTCATAGCCACCAGAGGACAATGCTGGGACTTGTAGTTTCACAGCCACCAGAGGACAATGCTGGGACTTGTAGTTTCAAACTCTAGGGGGTAGTGCGGGGAATTTTAGGCTTACAGGCTCTGAAGGGCAATGCTGAGACTTGTAGTCTCACAGCCACCAGAGGACAATGCTGGGACTTGTAGTGTCACAGCCACCAGAGCACAATGCTGGGACTTGTAGTACAGCCACCAGAGGACACAGTCCAGCCACCAGAGGACAATGCTGGGACTTGTAGTCTCACACAGCCACCAGAGCACAGCCACCAGCAATGCTGGACTTGTAGTCTCACAGCCACCAGAGGACAATGCTGGGACTTGTAGTCTCACAGCCAGCCACCAGAGGGCAATGCTGAGACTGCTGGGCCACTTGTAGTCTTACAGCCACCAGAGCACAGTGCTGGGACTTGTAGTCTTACAGCCACCAGAGCACAATGCTGGGACTTGTAGTCTCACAGCCACCAGAGGGCAATGCTGGGACTTGTAGTCTCACAGCCACCAGAAGGCAATGCTGGGACTTGTAGTCTTACAGCCACCAGAGCACAATGCTTGGACTTGTAGTCTCACAGCCACCAAAGCACAATGCTGGGACTTGTAGTCTTACAGCCACCGGAGCGCAATGCTGGGACTTGTAGTCTCACAGCCACCGGAGCGCAATGCTGGGACTTGTAGTCTCACAGCCACTGGGGCAATGCTGGGACTTGTAGTCTCACAGCCACCAGAGGGCAATGCTGGGACTTGTAGTCTCACATCCACCAGAGCACAATGCTGGGACTTGTAGTCTCACAGCCACCGGAGCGCAATGCTGGGACTTGTAGTCTCACAGCCACCGGAGCGCAATGCTGGGACTTGTAGTCTCACAGCCACAGGAGCGCAATGCTGGGACTTGTAGTCTCACAGCCATCAGAGGGCAATGCTGGGACTTGTAGTCTCACAGCCATCAGAAGGCAATGCTGGGACTTGTAGTCTCACAGCCACCAGAGGGCAATGCTGGGACTTGTAGTCTCACAGCCACCAGAGCACAATGTTGGGACTTGTAGTCTCACAGGCACTGGAGCACAATTCTGTCACTTGCAGTCTCCCAGACAATGGAGGGCAGTGTGGGTCTTTTAGTCTTACAGGAACTGGAGGGCAATGCAAGTCTCACAGGCACTGGAGGACAACCTATAAATGCAAACAAATCTGAAATGAGATGTACGGCCCTCCCCGAACCAGGTGAGTATTGCAGATATCACATAGAAGTCCCCTCACTGATGAGTCATTCCAGACAGGGACACTTCTCTTGAACGGCGGCCCAGGAAGTGTAGAGGATTCTGGGTAGCCATTCCATGCATTGCCGTCTTTAGAGCATGACATGAGCTTTTTCTGTAGCAGATAACCAGCTGCAGACTGATCTCTTTGGGTCAGTTAGACGTTATCAGTGTAAAGCACACTGGTGTGATCCGTGATGTACAGCTCCAGGGCGGAGGACACTCATGGGACCGGCATGCTATATGCTCTCCTATTTCCTGTAGGAGATTACAATCGAAGATCCTTCTCTCACATTCATACACATACACTCACCGGCCACTTTATTAGGTACACCTGTTTTAATTGCTTGTTAACACAAATTGCTAATCAGCCAATCGCATGGCAGCAACTCAATGCATTTAGGCATCTAGACACGGTGAAGACAACTGGCTGAATTTCAAACTGAGCATCAGAATGGGGAAGAAAGGAAATTTAGCTGACTCTGAATGTGGCATGATTGTTGGTGCCAGACAGGCTGGTCTAAGTATTTCAAAAACTGCTGATCTACTGGGATTTTCACGCACAACCATCTCTAGAGTTTACAGAAAATAGGCCGAAAAAGAGGAAATATCAAGCGAGCGGCAGTTGTGTGGATGAAAATGCCTTGTTGATGTCAGCGGAGAATGGGAAGACTGGTTCGAGATGAAAACAAGGCAGCAGTAACTCAAATAACCACTCGTTACAACCAGTGTATACAGAATAGCATCTCTGAGCGCACAACACATCGAGCCTTGAAGCAGATGGGCTACAGCAGCAGAAGACCAAACCGGGTGTCAGTGTCCCCATCTTTTGATGGCTACTTCCAGCACCATGTCACAAAGCTCAAATCAACTCAAACTGGTTTCTTGAACATGACAATGACAATGAGGTCACTGGACCCCAATAGCCTCCACAGTCACCAGATCTCAATACAATAGGGCACCTTTGGGATGTGGTGTAACGGGAGATTCGCATCATGGATGTGCAGCCAACAAATCTGGTGGTGATATGGTGTGTGGAGTATTTTCTTGGCACACTTTGGGCCCCCTAGGATCAAACATTTTTTAAACCCCACGGCATACCTGAGTATTGTTTCTGACCATGCCCATCTCTTTCTGACTACAGTGTCCTCATCTTCTGATGACTACTTCCAGCTGGATAATGCACCTTGTCACAAAGCTCAAATCTTCTCAGACTGATTTCAATGAGTTTACTGTATTCCAATGGCCTCCACAGTCACCAGATCTCCATTCAATAGAGTAGCTTTGGGATGTGGTGGAACGGGAGATTTGCATCATGGATGTGCAGCCAAGAAATCTGCAGGAAAAGTGTGATGCTATCAGGTCAATATGGACCAAAATCTCTGAGGAATGTTTCCAACAGCTATACCAAGAAGATCTAAGGCAAAAGGGGGTCCAACCCGGTACTAGCAAAGTGGATCTAATAAAGTGGCCGCGGGTGTACTAGGGCCAGTTTAGACAGGAGCCAGTTAACCTACCAGCATGTCTTAGCAGTGTGGGAGTACCAGAGCACCAGGAGCAAATGCATACAAGTACGGGGCTACTGTGTATATATACACAGGCATTCAGCACAATAGAAGCTCATGACCCTTACAGCAAGCAATGGTACATAATATAGCCCGTAAGTCCTTAAATGTCCATGATGAGTTCTAAAGCACAAACGGCAGCCATCCCATAGTGTGCCAACTCTATAGAAGTGAAGGGGAGAAAAAAGAGGCTCCTTCTAAGAGCAGTATACCAGTATAGATTTATTTAGCCACAGTTAAAAACACTTACAGAATGTAAAAGGTTAAAATGCCCATCAGATGAATGGTCTAAATCAGGGGTCTCCAAACTTTTCAAACAAAGGGCCAGTTTACTGTCCTTCAGTCTTTAGGAGGGCCGGGTTGTGGCCACTGAGAGTAAAAATGTCCTGGGCCCAGCATCAGTGAAAATATGCATAGCCTCAGGGTTGGCGGTCAGTAGGAGAAAGAGTAGTGCCCCGTCGTTGGTATCGGTGGGCGGAGTAGTAGTGCCCCGTCGTTGGTATCGGTGGGAGGAGTAGTGCCCCGTCGTTGGTATCGGTGGGAGGAGTAGTGCCCCGTCGTTGGTATCGGTGGGAGGAGTAGTGCCCCATCATTGGTATCGGTGGGAGGAGTAGTGCCCCGTCGTTGGTATCGGTGGGAGGAGTAGTGCCCCGTCGTTGGTATCGGTGGGAGGAGTAGTGCCCCGTCGTTGGTATCGGTGGGAGGAGTAGTGCCCCGTCGTTGGTATCGGTGGGAGGAGTAGTGCCTCGTCGTTGGTATCGGTGGGAGGAGTAGTGCCCCATCATTGGTATCGGTGGGAGGAGTAGTGCCCCGTCGTTGGTATCGGTGGGGAGTAGTAGTGCCCCGTCGTTGGTATCGGTGGGAGGAGTAGTGCCCCGTCGTTGGTATCGGTGGGAGGAGTAGTGCCCCGTCGTTGGTATCGGTGGGAGGAGTAGTGCCCCATCGTTGGTATCGTTGGGAGGAGTAGGGCCCCATCGTTGGTATCGGTGGAAAGAGTAGCGCTCCATCTTTGGTATCGGTGGGAGGAGTAGCGCCCCATCTTTGGTATCGGTGGGAGGAGTAGTGCCCCATCGTTGGTATCGGTGGGAGGAGTAGTGCCCCATCGTTGGTATCGGTGGGAGGAGTAGTGCCCCATCGTTGGTATCGGTGGGAGGAGTAGTGCCCCATCGTTGGTATCGTTGGGAGGAGTAGTGCCCCATCGTTGGTATCGGTGGAAAGTAGTAGCGCTCCATCTTTGGTATCGGTGAGAGGAGTAGCGCCCCATCTTTGGTATCGGTGGGAGGAGTAGCGCCCCATCGTTGGTATCGGTGGGAGGAGTAGCGCCCCATCGTTGGTATCGGTGGGAGGAGTAGCGCCCCATCGTTGGTATCGGTGGGAGGAGAGTAGCGCCCCGTCGTTGGTATCGGTGGGAGGAGTAGCGCCCCCGTCGTTGGTATCGGTGGGAGGAGTAGGGCCCCATCGTTGGTATCGTTGGGAGGAGTAGGGCCCCATCGTTGGTATCGGTGGAAAGAGTAGCGCTCCATCTTTGGTATCGGTGGGAGGAGTAGCGCCCCATCTTTGGTATCGGTGGGAGGAGTAGCGCCCCATCGTTGGTATCGGTGGGAGGAGTAGTGCCCCATCGTTGGTATCAATGGGAGGAGTAGTGCCCCATCGTTGGTATCGTTGGGAGGAGTAGTGCCCCATCGTTGGTATCGGTGGAAAGAGTAGCGCTCCATCTTTGGTATCGGTGAGAGGAGTAGTAGCGCCCCATCTTTGGTATCGGTGGGAGGTAGTAGCGCCCCATCGTTGGTATCGGTGGGAGGAGTAGCGCCCCATCGTTGGTATCGGTGGGAGGAGTAGCGCCCCATCGTTGGTATCGGTGGGAGGAGTAGCGGCCCCATCGTTGGTATCGGTGGGAGGAGTAGCGGCCCATCGTTGGTATCGGTGGGAGGAGTAGCGGCCCATCGTTGGTATCGGTGGGAGGAGTAGCGGCCCATCGTTGGTATCGGTGGAAAGAGTAGTGCTCCATCGTTGGTATCGGTGGGAGGAGTAGTGCCCCATCGTTGGTATCGGTGGGAGGAGTAGTGCCCCATCGTTGGTATCGGTGGGAGGAGTAGTGCCCCATCGTTGGTATCGGTGGGAGGAGTAGTGCCCATCGTTGGTATCGGTGGGAGGAGTAGTGCCCCATCGTTGGTATCGGTGGGAGGAGTAGTGACCCATCGTTGGTATCGATGGGAGGAGTAGTTTTTCTCACCACAGTGAAGCTTTTCTTATATGTATGCCAAGTCTGGTACACTTTGCGGAACTGGCATTTTCGGGCCCCAGTGGTCTCTTTGCGCTCCTTTTCCCATCTGACTGTCCAGGAGCTCAGTGATGCCCTGGTCCAGATCTGGGAGGAAATCCCCCAGGACACCATCCGCCGTCTCATTAGGAGCCTGCCCTGACATTGTCAGGCATGCATACAAACACACGGGGGCCATACAAACTACTGAGAACCATTCTGAGTTGCTGCAATGACATTTCAGCAAAATGGACTCGCCTGCTGCATCATTTTTTTCACTTTGATTTTCGGGGTGTCTTTGAATTCAGTCCTCTGTAGGTCGATCATTTTAATTTCCATCAAACGATGAGGCATCCTTGCATTCCTAACACATGACCCCATCCATATCTGTATAGATATCCAGCACGACATTTTTCCCCATTGAGATCTGATGCGTTTTCAAAATGTTCCTTTGATTTTTTTGAGCAGTGTATGATTGTGACCAGTTCCACTAGATCAGTGGTGGGCAACCTTTTTTTTCAACTGAACCAAATCTCGCCAAAACCACGATTGAAATTTATTTTGAGAGCCACATTTTTAAAACTGAAAATACATCCCCCATATAGTAATTCATCCCCCATATAGTAATTCATCCCCCATATAGTAATTCATCCCCCATATAGTAATTCATCCCCCATATAGTAATTCATCCCCCATAGTAATTCTTCCCCCCATATAGTATTTCATCCCCCATAGTTATTCATCCCCCATATAGTAATTCCCCCATATAGTAATTCATCCCCCATATAATTCATCCCCCCTAAGTAATTCATCCCCCCTATAGTAATTCATCCCCCATTTAGTAATTCATCCCCCCTATAGTAATTCATCCCCCCTATAGTAATTCATCCCCCCCTATAGTAATTCATCCCCCATATAGTAATTCATCCCCCATATAGTAATTCATTCCCCATATTGTGTCAATTCACTTACCTTTGCTCCGCGCGTTCCTCTCGCCGTGTTCCCGCGACGTTCCGGTCTTCAGGGCGGACTGTGAGAGGAGAGGAGTTCGTCACGCTGCCCCCCGCCTACATCCTGACAGCCAATGTTTGCCACGCTCCGCGGGCCGGATTAAAAGGTCCGCCGGGCCGTAGTTTGCCCATTGCTGGGCTAGCTACAGAGTCCTGACTTTTGGGGCGGCCGCCCGAGAGGAGGGAGGGGAGCGGGCGCCCGGCACACAGAAGAGCCGCATTAAAGTCTGTAAAGAGCCGCATGTGGCTCGCGAGCCGCGGCTTGCCGACCACTGCACTAGATTGATAGATCAATTATGTCATCTACGACAGTGGTGCAGTAGATATATGTAAAGGTGTGTCAGTTACCATTTATTTATTCCCATTTTTCAATAAAATATTTCACAAGCCACAGATGGGTTCTCTGTTTGGGACTTCTTTTTCCTGGCCTCTTACTCACATACCTAGCTTGTTATGTGTCTTTTTAGTCCTGAGAACACCTCCCCTATTTATAGGTGAGTCGGCTATATATATTTCTTATGCAGTGGATCTTGATTTTGCTTTTATGATTTCCATTGAAGTGGATATAGAAAGTTATGTTTCTTTTTCCCCCCCTTCTTCTTTTTTTTTTTTTTTTTTTTCTTTTAGATTCGAATCCTGTCCATTTTAATGGTTTGACTGCAGGAGCGATAGCTGGCATTGTTATAAGCATTTTAGTAGTGCTTATAGCTGCAAGTATTGGTGCCGCGTATGCATTTAAATCTAAGGAATCAGGTAAGTTTTATTTATTTATTTATTTCAGGTACTTATATAGCGCCGTCAATTTACGCAGCACTTCACATATATATTGTACATTCACATCAGTCCCTAACCCTCAAGGGGTGTACAATCTAAGGTCCCTAACTCACATCCATACATAGACATACTAGGGACAATTTAGACAGGAGCCAATTAACCTACCAGCATGTCTTTGGAGTGTGGGAGGAAACTGGTGTACCCAGAGGAAACCCACGCAGTCACAGGGAGAACATGCAAACTTCAGGCAGATGGTGCTGTGGTTGGGATTTGAACCAATGACCCTAGTACAGGCGCAAGTGCTAACTGTTTAGCCACTGCGCTGCCTGTTCCTGCATGGGCCAGAAATGTTGGCTGTATTTGACCCATTGGTGCCACACAAATACATACCCGTGAATCTTTGAAGGGAAGGAACCTGGTGTACCCAAGATGCCATCTGCGTTTGTCCCATGTGACTTTACAAGAATAAATACAGTTAGGTCCATACTTATTTGGACACAGGCACAATTCTAGTCCCCCTCAGGTACCCACCAAAACACACCCAAGCCACAGCTTTGGAGTTAATGCCAGGTTTATGTTAAACAAGCTGCCCTTAGATAGGACATGGCAGGTAAAGCCTGACAGCCTATGGGCATCTGCATCATTGGGGGGGTCCTAAGCAGGAATGGCCAGGATGTGAGATTGGGTGAAGGATTGAGCCATGTTTTCTGATGCCTGGAGTCAGGCAAATGATTGACTGCTCTGGGGAGAACTTTTGGATGTAACTTGCAAAAACCAAAAAAAACAAAACAAAAATGTGTCAATTTGTATTCTTTCCCCTGCCAGTAAGCAACATTTGATTGTAATATTTTCCTCCTCTCTCCTGCTCTCTCCTCGGTTTGTGGACACAAACACTTGGCCACGTTAAAGTAGTTATAAACCCTTACATATACCAAGTGAAGTGACTAGGTGATACACAGAGATTAAATAAATCCTCCTACATAAGTTGTACCTGTTTATCTGTAGCCATCTCTCCTCTACACCTGTTGAAAGTGGAGAATTTACACAGGAACTCTCAGCTCTGAAAAGCAGGGGGCGGGGAGCTCAAGCTACATCAGTGAGGAGAGCTCTGAGAGCTGATTGGAGGGAAGGGATACCCCCCCCCCTTTACACAGCACACAGGAACAGAGCTGAGACTGTCAATCGGCTGTAGGTCCCTCCCCTGTCACCATTTTTCTTTTGGTGTCAGAAAAACTTGTCAGAGGTGACTCGTGCTGACAGCAGAGGAAGGAGGCAGTGGGCAGAAATGACGCTTAGTGGTCTGGATTGAGACGAACGATAGAGGGATATGCTTTGTGCATAGCTCACGTCAGAGGTTTACAACCACTTTAAGGCCTAGTTCACGCTGGCATTGAATGCAGGCATTTTAGGGGCGTTAACGTTCCTCAAACGTCTATGCAAATGGTACTATGGACAGCACACCGTGCTGTTCACATTATCAAAACATGAAGCGTTAGCATCGCATCAATTCAAAATTGAAGCCTCATATAGAGTCTGGAGGAGTTTGAAGCCTTTCAAAGCCTCCCATTCAAGTCTGTGGTGATGCTTCACAAACGCATTGGCAGGCATTTACGTGGCATTTGCAGTGCTGCTGCGTACCATAAATACCATAACGGTAATAAAAATTACAGTTTATTATAGGTGTTTGTAGTGCAGTTTTAACTATTGTAAAATGCTTCTAAAACGCCTCAAAAGCACGCATAGGGCGTTTTTTAGGAGCATTTTTAACGCTTGTAAAACACCCATTCTAAAGCTCATTACCGCCTATCTAACGCCCATACTAATGCTACAGGAGCGTTTTTTGAACAGTTAGAAATTTAGTGAAGTGTGGTCAAGCCCTAAGGCTAGGTTCACACCTATGCAGGTTATGTTTCAGCCGTTTCTTCATTGCGTTGCGTTTTATGCACCTGCGGTTTTTTACGTGATTTTGCAGCATTTTTGATGCGTTTTGTGGATTTTTTTATTTTTCTTATTGCTAGGCAGATTTAAATTGCAAAACGCATCAAAATGCGATACATGCTTTTCTGCTGTGTTTCCATTGAAGTCTATAGAACCAAAAATGCAACTTTTTGCGTTCAAAAAAAGTCCCTGACCCTTTCCAAAAAATGCACCGGGTGAAAACGCAGAGATGAGACCATGTCCCATAGGAAAGCATGTTAAATGGACTGTACTGCGTTTCTGCAAAGCGCTGCAGAAAACACTTAGGTGTGAACCTGGGGTAAAGCAGTTCTTCACCTTAGGGAAAAAAATAAATAAAAGTCAGCAGATACAAATCCTGTAGCTTCTGACTTTTATATTCCAATGGTTTTTATTAATTTTTAAACATTATAAAACAGAGGCAATAAAACTCGCCCACACAGGGGCTATCAATTGCACAGAAAAAAAAAAGCAAAATAAAAGGAAAACAGTGCTCTAAAGCCAACAGGGCAAAAGGTACACCCACACAGGGGCTATCAATGGCACATAAGGTACAAAACATTAATGCAACTGACTAACAACTAAAGGCAGCTGTCCAGTCACACCAAAAACAGAGAGAGAGAGAGAGAAAGAGGAAAAAAAAAGGGGGGGGGGCAAAAAGCAGGGGTCCAAGAGCGCCAGTATCGAACGCCATTACATCCCCAGGCTAGCCGGGGGGGAGTGAGGGAAAGGCATATTGCAACCGCGGCTCCCATATTTTCAAAAATTTACGTTGGGAGTCGTTGCGGATACTCGACATCTGTTCGTTGAGCATCATAGTAGTCATACGATCCCGCACCCCCTGAAGAGGGACAAACGGACTCTTCCAGGCCTGGGCAATTGTTCTAGTGGCCGATAAAAACAGATAGGAAGCCAACTTCTGCTGGTGAGCCAAGAGGCCCGGTATGGGGCAATGAAGCAAGACATACCGGGCATCCTGGCGTATGGAGAGATGGAACAAGGTGAAAAGGAGGCCAAACACACGAGACCAAAAACAAAACCGTCTCGGGCATGACCACCAGATATGCAAGACATCTGCACGATGGCCACAACCCCGAAAACACTGATCACTACAGGCAGGGTTAGCCCGGGCCAACCGAGCTGAGCTTCTGACTTTTAATAGGCCACAAATACAGTTTTACATGTAGATAGAGCCTACAGTGTGTCCAATCAGAAGGAATTATTTCCATCTCCCTGCAAGTAATAGTTATCTTTTCTGAGAGATGAAATAGATTCTTCTGATCTGTGGATATAAATCAGAGCTGGCAGGCCTTTCGGAGCCCCCTCCTGGTCCCCTGCGGTTTCTTAAGCTGAAATGGCTAGAGCTCTTCTTTTAGATTTCAAGAAGGTGGCAAACTCTGGCTTCATAGGTGACAACGTTTTGTTGGCATCTAGGTGTCACCTCTGGCCTAGAAGCTGCTCTGTCCTTTCAGATGCTGATTGGTGAACATATGTCTCTGACTGAATTCTGAACACTGATCTATAATAACATGGAATGAAACTAGATCTACAATTACATATTTCTTCAGATCACATCACAGCTCAACTATTCGAATCTTACATTTATGTTACACCCCGCTCTTTTTTTTGTGTTTTTTTTTTTTTTGTAGTCTGTTTTCTTTATTTTCTGTACAGCAGGAAATGAGCGATCATTTCTCCTAAAGTGAGGGAAAATCCCTTCTTACCTCATTACTCTGGAACTAGTGACTACTGATTTACCCACATGGAGTTGTCAGTGATTCAGCCATGCTATGTGTATGACTCCTAGCACCAGCCGTGCTATCCGCACCTTTTATATAGATGTCCCACCTAACCCCTTCGCCTAGCATCGGCATCCCTTAAACTTGCTCTTGGGAAGCTGCAGGACTGCCCAATCACATGACCCCTTGCGATTGGCTGTCGCAGTGGTCACTTGATCAGGAGCCAGTTCCTGCCAGCTCCTGATCATTGCTATACTGGGAGCTGTCTATGACAGCTTGGTCACTGTACTGATAGCACAGTGAGTGCCCTTTCATCATAGAAACTTTTGTCATCCACGGCTGCACATGTGTTTTTTTATGCTTTAAAACCAACCCTACACTTTGAGATAATACCAAATACACTAGAATACAAGGTGGAATCCAGAGGTCTCAAGACTAATTTTGTGACATGCCAACAGATGGCAGCACAAGGCTGCACGCACAGTCACAAGGAGCACCGATCTTCATAAGTCAGTGTGCCAATAGAAATCGTCCTGTGTACATTGGGAGCTGTGTAACTGGTGCTATTCTGACCACATGCGTTACCACATCTGCTATTTCATCATGGAGAGCACATTAGAAGAAAGAGCAAACGTGATATTCTGTGTGAAACCGGGCAAATCTGCCACTGGAGTGGAAGAACATAACTGGAAGACGAGATATCAGGAAGACCTTCAACGAGCTCAGCCCCTGAAAATGTTGCAACCGTTCAGCAACTTGTGCATGATGATGTGCAGAACAATCCACATCATTGCTACCATTGTCGGTGTGTCGTATGGAACAGTCCAGGCAATCCTTGCGCTTGTGATTTGAACATGTGACGTGTTGCTGCCAAATTCATCTCTAGGCTGCTGACCTAGAAGGAACATCGTGCCAAAGTCTGCCAAGAACTCCGTCAGCATGCCGTGAGTGACCCATCCTTCATGTCCATAATTGTTACTGGTGACAAAACCTAGGTGTACGGATTTCACATTTGCTCTTTGTACTAACTTGCTGTCCATGATGAAATAGCAGACGTGGTAATGCACGTGGTCAGAATAGCACCAGTTGCACAGCTCCCGATGTACACAGGATGATGTTTTTTGGCATACTGACTTAAGGTAGCAGGAGTGGCTCCTGATCAAGTGACCACTGTGACAGCTAATCACAAAGGGTCATGTGGCATAAAAAGCACACTGATTTATGGAGTTTGGTGCTCCCTGTGACTGTGCATGCAGCCTTGTGCTGCCATCTGTTGGCGTGTTACAAAACTAAT